GGGACAAGGATCAGCAGAGACTTGAGAGAATGTTCTGGGGTGATGGGAATACTCTATATCTTCACAGGACTTTACGATTTGTCAAACCGATCAAATAGTATGTTAACGATTTAAGCATTTCATGTATGTGAATTTTACTTCAAAACAATGTAAACAACTATTGAACTGTAGTTAATAATGTGCATTTTCAATTGTTTTGGGTGAAGTGTGCTAATGTCTGTAACTTACATTGAAACACATCAAAAAATTAGGTAGATTGGAGAACAGACAGAGAAACAGATATGTGACCAGGAGAATGTGGTATTATATTAAGAACAAAAGTTTTTTATTCTTGAAGCGTTTTCATTTGTCCGAAATTGTTTCAAAATGAAAATTACCCCCCGAAAATTAAGTGCATCAATCATTGTGTGACTTTCCTGGGACATGCTGCTTTTGAGCTGCAGATTCGATTCTTCCTTCATATCAGTTTTCTCTTGTTATGGAAGACATGTTATATTCTCTCTGTGGGGTTCTCAGTTTCACGGTCAGTTACCATTCTTTTGAGTCCTCNTGTTATATTCTCTCTGTGGGGTTCTCAGTTTCACGGTCAGTTACCATTCTTTTGAGTCCTCTAAATATGTCTTATCTTATCTAATTGCTCTATTCTCTACTTTTTTCCTTTGCATTTTCTGAGATCATGGTAGATATTTCCTCCATGTCTATAATTCAGCTCTCACCTGTAATTATCATTCTACCTGCTTTTCTACTTTATGAATTAGTCTAGCAATTGTGTTGTTTTGACTTTGTTCCCTGAGCGCTGTAATCTCCCTTTTCATTTAATTCNAGCAATTGTGTTGTTTTGACTTTGTTCCCTGAGCGCTGTAATCTCCCTTTTCATTTAATTCTGTTTTTTCTCCTCCTCTCTCAGGTCTTGCTTTATTGAGGTTATTTCTCTTAAACACAAAAAAGTAATGCATTATCTTCTTTCTCTTGAGCCATGTCTTCTACTCAAATCGATTCTTCTGCTCTCTTTTTTCCCTGTGGTGTGTTTGTATGACACCATGTCACCTTTTCCCCTGTATTGTTTCATCTGCAATATGAGCGGCTCTGTTTAAACTGTCTACCTGCACAATGACAGCAGGGTAGGTGACTTTTTCTTGACTCCCTATCCACTTTAATAGAGACCTGTTTCTCTTCCACTGCAAACTAGGATCTGAAAAGTGTTTCTTAGAGCCAAAAATCACAGCACAAGGAAGGGGAGAAGGGCTTACCAGGCTATGAGCAGTCTCAGACGGCTGACCTGGACTCTGTCCCCTCTTCTATGTGTTTGCTAAACGCCCAGGATGTGAGTTCCCCCATCTCAGCAGAAGCCTTTGTCTTTCCAATACAGGAACACCTTTGGTCTTCTGAGAAGCGCTTCAGACAGTTAACCTGGCTTGCCTGGGGGAGAAAAAGTGCTTTGGCACCTGGGCAAGTTCCTGTCCCTCACAGAACACGGTTATAGGAGTGATCGCCACCTTCCACTTATACAGCTTTGCTTTCCCCAAACCTTTGTTACATTCAGTGTCACCCCTCTCTTCCCAGAAGCCATGTCCAGTCTTTCCCTCCCCCATCCTATCTCCCCCCGATCCCCAATGTCCCAACGAAGCAGACGAGGGCAACAGATTTATTAAGCAATGTTTTTTGGGGGCCTTGTGCTGAGAGCCCATGAAGTGGAGAAGGGCGCATTGGCCTCCTGCTTCCTCAGATCTCGTCTCACTCATGTTTTCTGTTTTCTCCTGGGTTGAAAATGTCCTGGGATGCTTTTTGATTTTTAACTCATGATAATTGAGTTGGAATGTTTAGCATTCATTTCTTTTCTCTTTCCGCCCAGCAAAAAGAAAACAGAATGGTGCATTCTAGAAGTCTCTCCCATCCCTGCTTGTTGCTTCGTGTTGCTTCACCTCCCATGGATTTGTCACCCCTCTTCCCCTGGGTGACAGAGATGCAAAAGATTACTCAAAGCCCATCTCTTCTGAGCAGTGAG